ACGAGCGAGACAACGACGACCATGAGGTCCATGATGTTCCAGGGGTCTGAGTAGAAGGGCTTGAAGTGGTTCTCGGACATGGCGAACGCTGCTACCGACACCTCTACTGTGAAGAAAGCTGTAACAAGTATCCCTACCGTCCTCACAAACACTCCATCGCTTGATGATGCCTCGGGCAGGCTCTCGGCCTCGTACACATCCACGAAGAAGTTGAGCAAGATCAGCACTGACATCACTGCACGCACCCGTCAGTACCGACGTGTCTGCCTAAGAAGTTGAGCAAGATCAGCACTGACATCACTGCACGCACCCGTCAGTACCGACGTGTCTGCCTTCCCTCTCTGCACTTCCTCCTACTCTTGCTTGTCCTGCTTCTCCTCCTGCCTTCCTTCTCACTGCTTACCTATGTGTGTTGTCCGCGCCTTGATCAGCTTCTTCGCCTTGAAGCGCAGCCACAGATACTTGCTGTCCCCGATCTCTTGCAGCTCTTGCTCTTGCCGCTTCGCCTTCATCGCCAGCTTCAGCCCCGTCGACATGTCCTTGTGCCATTCAAGGCACTCCGCCTCCGTCTTCATCCGATACACGTACGTACGCCCGGAGTTGTGTCCTCCCTCTACCGTGCGGATGATGAGGCAAAGCTTCTCCTCGCGCTCGCTCTTGTTCTCCCCCTCCATCATCAGCTGCACCACCTCATGCAGCGGGATGTAGTCGATCACGGTCTCGTCGTCCTCGATGACGCCATCGTCGTTGAGGAAGCAGATCATGCGGTCGGTGAGGACGACGCCTTGTGTCTTCCATGTGACGACTGTACCAGCGATCTTCTTCTCGAGGATGCCAGATCGAAGCTGCTTGCCGCATTCTGCTAGTTTGTATTCTTGCTGTTCTTCTCCGCTGGATCTCGGTAAGGAGCTTGTTTTCTTCAAACTTTCGTTGGCTTGCATATTTGCGTGCATAGGGTCGTCCTGTCGACGAGAAGATGCGAAGAATATTGCTGCCATTTTGGTCTTCTGATAGAGTAGAGGAGACAAGCGGGGTGGGGAAACGAGAAGAGCAGAGGAGAGGATCGGATGGGAGAGAGGAGAGAGGAGAGGAGGAGAGAGGAGAGAGGAGAGAGGAGAGAGGAGAGAGGAGAGAGGAGAGAGGAGAGAGGAGAGAGGAGAGAGGAGAGAGGAGAGAGGAGAGAGGAGAGAGGAGAGAGGAGAGAGGAGAGAGGAGAGAGGAGAGAGGAGAGAGGAGAGAGGAGAGAGGAGAGGAAGGCAAGGGAGAGGAAGGCAAGGGAGGAGAAGAATTTGAGTCTGAAAGGCAAGAGCTGTAGGCAACGCGTCAGGCTTCTACCATTGACTAGGCTTCATGACTACCACCCTTGCATTCGGGCGCCCTGGACCACCCCTGATCCCGTGAGGTACCCTTGGGTATAAAACTGATAAGCACCCTTACTGCACACCTCAAAAGGACCCCACCTAGAGCACCCCCACGTCCACTGAAGACAAAATTCTTTTTGATAAATCGCAAGAAACGGTACTCTTTCTGACCGTGGAAGTTTAATTTTCCGCTTGAGTAAAGATAGTACTGGAGAGTTGAACATTGAGTAAACGTTTCTATTGTTTTGTCACACATCGGAAGAATCTGCTACAGTGCTGCTAGAACCGTACCGTCAGGTCAAAGTGCTGTAACGGCCATGTAACGGCCTGCAACTGGACAGAATCCGGTGAATGTTATCAAACACTCAGATTGGGAAGTTAGCCGGACAGAGGGCACGGCACTACTGCTGAGCCGCGTACCGGCGACTCTTCACATAATGGCGGATGATGTGAGTACACAGCGATCACTGGAGGCGAGGAGGAGGCGAGGAGGAGGAGAGACGAGGAGACGGAGGCTTAGGGGGGCGAGGAGGTGTGAGGAGAGCAATAAAGGCCCATTTGAGTTCTTTTCTAGTCATGAATTTTCCGAGTTTAAGCAGATTGTAGCATATACAGCTTACAACCCGTGAAATAAAATTTGCTGATTGATCTGGCCGCGCTATTTAAAGAAGTTAAATGTTTCATTGATCTGGCCGCGCTATATCAAGAAGTTAAATGTTTGTGTATGCTGAAATTTCAAGAAAACATAATTCTACTACTGCTTTCTTCCCCCCCAAAGCGATATGGAAATAGTGCATTAGACTTGATATTTACTTGCAATCAGCTTTGAGTTGTTGTGCTCCCTTCCAAAGTGACGAATGTTGCAGGCAGGTCAGCCCCTGCGCGCATCAGGCGAGCTTCAGAAGCAGCTGCTTGCTCAGGTCCAAGTTTGTATTGATGACGAAGATTGTTCAAGTGTGTGATACACAGGAGATCGTCAAATTGCGGAGAGAAGTCGCTTTGCTCCGAGCCTCTTCCGTCCCACCCGAGGCCTCCAAGCATGACGAAGAGGCGGTCAAAAAGGTGCACTCACACTAAAATTATCTGCATGACCTACTTGTTGCATGGCTGTTCAGCTGCGAGAAGAGATCGAGACACTGCAATCATTGAAAGAGCAAACTATCAAGAATGTTAGCTCTGGTGTTCCTGTGCACCACCTCTTGACACCTTTGATAGGCAAACGTTCAAAAAGCAGTCTTGAACAAGGAGATTTTGACTCTGCGATCAGAATTGCAGGCAATCAAGGAAGAAAATGGATTTCATGTATGTAATCTGCGTCAAACACTCCTCCTAAACTTGATGTCAGGATTTGGATCTTAACGAGATGAGAGCTATGGAGGCGCCAGAGACCCAAAAAGTTTACCAAATAACGTGTATCAGCACATCTGACGTTTTCATAGGAAATTGCAAATTCACTTTTTCAACGAAAACTCTTCGAAGAAAACTTTACAAGAGTGATACGAGATCTGCGCAAGGAGCTTGAGCAGGTAGTCTTCAATTTCATGCATCGAAAAGTAATGCGGCAAACAAGAACGATCTAAAGAAGCTTTCACAAACCTACCTTGCGTCCAATATTCAGACTACAATTCAGATTAGCAATGAGCGTATTGAAAAGGTGCTTGAGAATAATCACATCTCACATCCTCAAGCATTCTTTGGTGAGGCTGGTTCTAGGTGATGGAAGAAGCAGCTCAAGTTCCTGTGGAAAGCCGACTGCATGTTGAAGCGTAAGGCTTGTAATTGAATCTTTCGTGCTTTCTGAAGATTCCGACATGACAGACTTCGTATTCTCATGGAAAATGCAAAACTGCGAAAGGTTCTGAATGATTATTCGGTCATGAGAGCAACTTCGTTGATGGGAGCATAACGATGGTCTGCAGTCTGGAGTGCTGCGTAATACCATGGTGAAGATGAAGGTACAGCCCCTCGTATCTTCCTTGAAAGAGAACAGTCGGCCACTAATGATGAATGCGTAGGAGGGGGAAACATCACAGAGCTTTGGTTCTCTTCTTGGCTTATGATGACCTAAACATTTATTCATCTTGTACGAGCAAGAAGTTCTTGGACGAAGTGAGAATGTGTCCTTTCATGATGACCAAACAACTCTAGACTACCTTCACCTTCAGCAGCACCTCCTCCGCTTTCGCTCGAAGCACTGAGCATTTCATCAACTCGAGTAAAGGATGCACAGCACAACACCTCCCCAAAGTTGTTTCAGCTTCATCTGCGCTTTAGACCATGGAGTTGGAGGAGATACTTTCGATAAGGATTCCGCAAGTTTCTCATAAACAACCTGTGATTCATCTTAGCTTCTAGCCAGATTCTTTAGAATTCTACCTGATTATTCTGAAGGACTGCCTCAAGGTCCTCAGGTGATAAGATAAGCTCGGTCTGCTTCAAGGCATCTTGAACTACTTTCTTGCTGCAGCAGTTGTATTCAGTATCGTTTCAGGCAATAGCAGCCTGTCATACTCCAGTCTCCCTTGTCCATCCGTGTCAATCTTGCGGAAGAAATCGAGCCACTCATCCTTCACTCGCACGGATCTGAGAAGGAGATGAGCCGTGCAAACTGACGCCAACATCTATCAACCTTTCATTCTCCATTCTCATCGCCCAGAGATCTGCCCACAACTGCACAGTAATTCTCCTTGCGCGGGAAGGATCGGTCTTGACCGCAGTGCTGTACAATTCTGCAGCACCTGCAAAATCATCGCGAACCTGGATCCAATGAGTGAAACTTGTGACTGGCTAGATGAGAAGGAAACCGTGGAAAGAAAACATGCGTAGCCACAAAGAGCATCGACGTCTTTTGGATTGACTGCCAGGACCTGCATGAAAGAAGAATTTAACCTCAGATTCCCAGAATTCATTCAATCACCTGCTTGTATCTTTCCTCCTGCTCCGTCCTTCCGAGCCTTTGGCAAATTTATTGAACGATCAAGAACAAAACACGCATTGACCTTTCTGATCGACCAGGATTCTTATCCATAGCCTGACGGAACTTGCTGCTCCAGTTTACTTTCTTGTTTTGTTTCTGAACGCCAGGAGTCAAAGAATGATAGGCAATAGGAGTTGGCATCTACAACTCTCTCATGATTCCTTGCTATTCCATCTCTCTTTACCACATACACTCAAGTAAAAGGATGACCTCAATCCCGTCGTCAGCTTGCATTCTCAAAGGCATGGTTCTTGGGGTAGCAATAACATAGCCCAAGGAGCCCCAGGAAGGAGGGCAAGCGCTGCTCGCCGCCAGCATCAAGTGGAACCTGTCAATTGGTTTGTCATAATCCCCCAACTCTTGTTCTCAGATAAAAAAATCCTGAATATTCTGAATAATCCAAAGTCGTAACTAAAACCACCACAACTCTTCTCAATAGGTTCCATAGCTGTCTCAATGTAATCCATGATTCCGTCAGCAATTGTCTCATGCATGCTGGTCCATTGACTTGTAGGACATCAGTTTTCATGTCTCAGCCACTTTTCCTTGCTTCATTGCATTCAACTTTATAGCGCCCCGACATTGTCTGCGTCATTTGTTTGGCCTATTGGTTGTGGCTGTGAGTTTTTTTCTCTGCTCCCGCTTTCAAAGCTTCATATCGTCTGTTCTACATATCACTACATCATCCTATGTCTTGTGTCCTCCTTCCCTCTCCTCTCCTCCGCATCTTTGACCTGCTGCCTCCATACTGCCTTCCTCGATTCGCATTCTTGGTGCGCCCTGTACCACCCCACCCCCCGATATTGAGGTTGTCAAGCTTTTACAGACCCCGACTACCTTGTGAACCCCCCTTTGCAGGTTTCATCGGGGGGGGTGATGAGGGTGATGAGGCCGTTGACGAAACCTACATACCGGGAGGGGAAGGAGAAGGAACGGGAGGGTTGAGGAAGGGAGGGAACAGAGATGAAGGAGAATGACGACCAGAGCAAAGATGTGAAAGAGGCTGATCATTCGCATTGTACTTGTGATCCAATCATTCACATTGTACAGGTGTGATGGCGTCCAAGACTAACTCGAGCCCTTATCTCTGGGGGGCTCGTACAGTCTCGAGAGGAAAGGTAACATTTCACTCTCCTCTTCTCTCTTCACATGATCTCAGGCGGCCATGAATGCTACACCAAGAGCAACAGAACAAGTCTCAGGTCCTCCTCGCCTACATCAGCATCTAACTTCTGACTGAGTCCCAGCTCCAATGTCCCGAGCTCATGATACCAGGGTCTGCATCATTTCTTCTTCGTCCGGCCAACACTGACACAAGTCTCAGGCTGTCAACGCCGTCAGCATCGCCAGGGGAGGGTTCACGTCCCTGAGCTCCTGGAAGCGAGCTGCGAATCAGCTCATCCGCCAGCTGTACCGGGCCAAGGTCAATCTCAACCTCGTGCTCCTCGCCCGTGCTCTTGAATCGTTTTCCTGCATTGCATATCGCTTATCTGCAGCCTCTTCCTTTCGTCTGATCGATGTTGAAGCTCATTCTCGGAGACCTTGTCGAGAACCAAGACGTAGATCCACTTTGCGTTGTGGACGATGCGGTGAATTTGTTCTTTGCTTTCTCTGTTTGCTTCTTTTGACCCCCGTGCTAAGGGCGACTTGCACAACGACGACATTCCTGCGGAGGCCTTGCATGCAGCAGGAAAGGCTGATGAAGATCTCAAGGACAAGCTCAAGGTACTGCGACTGTCGCGAGTCTCAGCTTGACAGCCCTGCATCAGCTGGCGGAGAACATCGTTCGCAAGCTATACGCGCGAAGGTGAAGAGATGGGCAGCTGGCAGCCTCTGATGGTCTTCAGCATGGAGCTGACCCAGCAAAACAAGTATCTGAGAGAGGAAAACGAGCGATTGAGCCAGGAACATATCCCACCCTCTCTCTCGCTCTGCCCCCCCTCCTCCGCATTCTTATTGTGTAATGCTCCTCAAAATCTATTCTTCCTGTTCATTTTCCTTTTCACTGGTTTGATCGAACTTCGCCTCAACTTTCGTCGCTTTCTCTTCTTTGACAATGATACAAACACAACAGCTATCAGTCGAAAGACCTCGGTCGACCAGCGGATTCAGTGAGATTCTGCATGGTGAGGACCTTGGCCCTCGTCATCGTGCTGACCTCGAGCAGAGCAGAAAACAGACACGAAGAGGAGGGATCGACCCTTTACGGCTGGCGCACCCCTGGCGAAGAAGGAGGAGATAGAGCAACGCGTGAGTGAACAGCTTGTCAATTCCATGTTCTTCTTATCTTGATTCCCTCTGAGTTTATTGCATCTCTCAGCGAGTCATGTCGGCAGAGCCACAGCTGGGTAGTCGCAGGTATCTACGAACTTTTTCACCGCCTGCTCAGCAGCCCTCACCTCCAGGGGCGCGAGAGCCTCAACAGATGGGTGGGAGCTTGGAGGACAAGAGAATCTAGCGGAGCTGGAGAGCGCGCTGAGATCCAGCAGGAAACGAGAAGCGAAGCTTGAAAAGTGAGGATGAGGAGGGCAGGGCAGGACAGATGCCTGCTGATCTATTGGCAGGGAACTAGAGCTCAACAAGGAGCTGGAGGTCCTCGTGTGGGATGGGAAGAAGGAAATGTTGATGGGAGCGAAGGGCTAAAGTTGACATGTCAAGCAGGCTGAGCAGCTTCTTGCGAATCAAACGATTGCGAAGATGAAAGAAAGACTCAAATCTGCCAAGTTAGACCTGAACCCTTGACTTCTCTTGCATCCTTGTTTACCTTTCCTCTGTTTCTTCATTCTGTTGATGGCTCACCTTGGTTTCGTTCCATTCTTTTGGCTTCTTTCTACGCTCGTCTATTTCTTGTTTCTGCTTTTTCACATTTTTCGAGCCAACTGGTTGCCGCTGACTCAACTTACTTTGATTACGCCAGGACACTTCTACTGGATCTTGCAGGTGATGTCAAGTAGCGGAATAGGAGGAGGAGAGAGATGGGACGTTTGAAGGGAGAAAAGGAGGATGACGAGATTGGCAGGTCAGCTACAGGATCTCAAGGACGACAACGTCAGACTGCAAGGCAAAATTTCAGCAGCCGATAAGCTGACAAAACAGAAACTAAAGCAGGTAAAAAAAAACTCCTCATGAGCTGAAAGCTCCTCCCTTGCTCTATTCTCATTGATTCCTTTGTCATTAGCAGCTTCTCTTGACATCTCTCTTTTCAGTTCCTTCAGCATAGCAACGAAGTCATTGCCGGACTGCTCACTCTTGTGGTTGTCTGCCCTTCCTTTCCGGCTATGATTTCACCAGCTGCTCTCCTCTTCTTTGTTTTGTTCCCTTTCTCCCTTCTCAATCTCTACATTTGATTTCTTCACAGCCATCTGTGACTCTGCGATACACCTCCTTACCTGCTATTGCTATCCTCTTCCACTTCTTGTCGTCAAGCGATGTGTACAGGAGAAGGTGCCTGCGTCTTCGAAGAGGACAGGAAGTGGTCAGGATCGAAAGGTGTGGCTTGAGAGGATGAGGAGATGATGGAGGAAGAGCCGAGGAACTGAGTTGAAAGAGGGTGACAATGGAGCAGGATGCAGATGAAGTGGCACGGGAACAGCAGCTTCTCCTCCAGCAGATTCGTCAGAGTTCTCACGCCATAGGTATGTCAGTGATGTCTGGATTGCCCACTGACGCCTCGCAGGGGATTTGTCAGAGAGCATGTTAGGAGAGAGGAAAGAGCTCCCATCTGATGAAAGCGACGACGAGAGCCTTGGAGAAGACGCCTTTACCACGTGAGGGGACAAGAAGGATTGAGATGGCGGTAGCAGATGAGAGGAGCAGTCAGATAGAGCTAGTGATAGCACAAGGAGGAGATAGGCCTGCTGCGAACTTGGCAAGTCGGATGCAGGTTGGATTGGAAGTTTGATAGGTAGGAGGACAGAAGGAAGAGTCTCCAGAGGAAGTGTAAGGGGAGGCAATAACATCATCGCAGTTCTCGTCTTGTTCGAACAGTTGAGCTCATTGCTCTGCAGCTCTCGTACGTCTCACTTGACTCATTCTCCTCGTCCTTTTTTGTCCCTACCTCGTCCTTCCTCGATTTCTTTCCTGACAACAGGCAGGCCTGCTGGAAGAGTTGAGCTCTTGGAGGTCATGCGAGACCTGTGAGGCTCTTGTCTTTCTCTCTATGAGCTATCTCCTTACCCTGCTCTTCTCCTCTTCTCCAGTTTCCTACCTCTCGTTCTTCTGACCCTCGTTTAGCTTTCAGCGCTTTCACCTCGTCAAGATGGAAATGGACGCGCTCCTTCAAACCCACGAGGAGGTGAGTACCTGCCGTTGCTTCTTCTCCTGTTCCGATGCTCAGCTGCTACGGGCAGTTTCGACAGCAGACCGACGCGAGCATACGTCAGGTCGAATAATGCCCGCGTTTCTCCTGCTCTCGACGCCTCCTCCTCCCTTCGTTATCCTTTCGTTACCATGGCGATTCCTTTTTCTGTGCCCTCCACGCAATGTCTCGTCCTACTCCTTGTCTTTCTTTCAGTTCCCTCTGTACCATGCTTCTTTTCGCTTCTGACATGCTGGTTCAGCTGATGATGGAGCGGTCAGTACTACGAGGTGTGATCGCGGATCTTATGAGGAAAGATCACACGGGAGGTGTTCCTCTTGATCCTGACCTCATAGAGGCCGAGGTAACTTCCTCTTCCATTCCTCCTCCTTTTCTTCTTTTCTACTCCTCTCTTCTTCTTCTTTCCCCTTCTTTCTTCCTCCTTTCTTCCTTCTTTCCTCCTCGTCTCAATCGTTTCTTCTTTCGTCCTCCTCTATCGCGACTTATCCACCTCCCCACCCCTTGCAGGGCTTGGCCTCGCGAAGCGATGTTGCTCTTGTCCAAGCGCAGCTGGAGGTAGAGGCGATTGAACGGGTGAACTTGTTATTTTCTGTTATGCTTGGCCTCATGCTTGGCAGCTCGAGAGGGAAGAGGAGGAGAACGAGGACGAAGACGAGGAAGAGGGACTAACGTCCGAGGATGCAGAGGAGGAGGAGAATCAGGGTCATTCCTTGACCCAGGAAATCTTGTTGTAAACTGGAGAGCATTTCTGACCCTCATTGCAGACCACAAAAGAACTGACGGGTAACATTGCCTTCTCGCCGTCGGCATGGAAGGACGATTTCCTTACCTCCAGTTCGGATAGCCTGAGGTTGGAGGAGGGACCAAGCGCTGCACAAGTCGGGCCAGGAGGAGTTTACATGCCTGGGGAGTGGCAAGGCGAAGAATCCAAGGAGGAGGAGGAGGAGAAGAACGCATCGTCAGTGAGGGAGCTCAAGAATGATGACGGGACTTGGTTCATGGTGAGGATTGCTCGGGTGCACGAAGGTGGTTGGAAATGGATTGGGAGAGATAGGGTGGGAGATGAAAGGAGGAACAAGGTGAAGGTCAGGATGACTTTTGTTGCTTGCAGGGAGACGTTCGCTCGGGTCGACCGCATGGGCATGGCAGCGAGACATACCCTGACGGCTCATCCTACGAGGGCCAGGTCTACTCCTTGCGCCCTCACGGCAAGCAATGAGTCAATGCTTCTCAGTTTCATACTGGTCATCGTGATGGGCATGGAGCCTACTACTTTCCAGACGGAAGTGTGCTGGAGGGGCAATGGAAGGACGGGGTGAGTGCGGACAGTGAGTAGGAGGAAGCTGACTTCATTATAAGCTGCAGCATGGCGTTGGCATCATGCGATCTGCTCGGACAAGGGTAGTCAAAGTTTGTACTTTTTCTCCTCCTAACATTCGGGTAGGATGAACCTGTCCTTGTCAGCTCCAGCAATGGTGTAGTCGAGGTACGTAGTGCCAGAAATGGCGTAGTGGAGGAGAGAATCGAGCTCGAGCTTATTTCTCCTCTCGCAGAGCTTCCTTCCTCTACATGCAGGTCGTGACACGGCTGCGCTGGACGAGCTCCAAGTGCAGGTGCCTTGCCCTGGGTTCCTGTTGACCTCTTGACTCTATTCTGAGGTGCTGGAGGCGCTTGACATCGTCGCATCGAAAGTTGCAGAAGCTCGAAGTAGGAACGAAGAGGAGCGAAGTGAACAAGCCGAGAGAAACGACGTGGAATGAAACATACTATCCGAATGGCATATGCTCTACAAAAACCTGGCCACCGTTGCTCCTTTTCTTGGCTGGTCGGAGGTGGAGGGCCCTGAGTCAGCGCAATTAGTATCGGGCCGGCTTGGGTTGGACCGGCGGGCCCGGCCGAATCAGGTCCGGCCCGGCCCGGAGTCCGATCGTGCCTGCAGCGTTCTCACAAAGAAGTTCGTGGTTAAAACATTCATGGGTGGGGTGGATGGAATCTTCAAACCCGGATGAATGATTTCAGTAGGTGGGTAGGGCGACCCACCTACCCCGATAGCACGGTTTTCTAGTATTTTTGATGTATAATCGCATACAGGGAACCTCGGAAAGGGGTACTTTACCCGCAGGTACCCCCCAGGCCCCAAACCCTCTATAAGTTGGGAAGGCAGGCCACCAGGAAGTGGCGAAAGCGACAGCACTATGCGCAGCAAGGAGGACGACACGTTGAGTAGTGACGAAGCGAGAGAAGAGGAGCAGGAGGTTCAGCCCCCGGCGATGTCGAGCAGAGTCTCGCCCTTCTCGTGCAATCACCTACACTATCATAAACCGGTACCCATTCAAGTCCCGACCAACTGCACTTTCAAGGTACTCACCTTGACGGGGATGGATAAGATGCATAGAGGGAGCAACCAGACGCGTCACTACCTCGTAAGAAAAAGCAAGAAAGGAGGATACACCCCCTCTCTCAACATCAAAGATGAGAAGCTTCTCGCGATCCAGCGAGATGCATGCTACGACATCTTCACTCATGTCAAGCATACGGCATCAAAGCCACCACGAGCTAGAGGACGATGCTTCCTCTGCTTCTTGCAAGGAGACATGCCTGCTCATGGCAGGAGGCGCATCTTCATCAAGCAGGTGATATGCAATGGATCAGGTATGGCGGGAGAAGGAAACTTGGAGCAGACCTTCTTTTTCGGAGTCTGCGAGCGATGCAACGACGAGAGGAACGACCGGGTGCTCAAGACTGTGATATCGAACGAGCTGCATGCTCAGACTGCCAGCTACCTCATCTATGATGACACGCTCTTGTCGGTGCCGCGCGAGCCTAGGCAGAAAGCTAGCCTTGCGGGAGTACAAACACCTCGCATCTGCAGCTCCAGCGACTCGGACTCGGACAACGTCCCGATCGCGAGGCTGGAAGAAAGAAGGCACGAAAAGACGAGGAAAAACGACAGGAGGCTAGAAGACAGGAGGAATCCAGGACGAGGCAAGATGTCCCCTCAGACGCCTCGCCAAGATCCATCAAGCACTAGCGGCTCCGACTCGGACAACCTTCCGATCTCTCGGCTACAGGAGAGGAGGAGTGCGAAGCGAAACCTGTCAGCTGCCCTGAGAGCTGATCTTGCGGATGACACTGAGGACACAATGAATGCGGCATCTTCCGGTGACGACAATGCCGAGCCAGAGGCCATTCCTCGAGGTTTGCATGGTGGCAGGTACAGACGCAGGTCTCCTTTGAGCGATGACGATGACGAGGAGGAGGTTGGTGAGCAGCAGATACAGCAGGAGCAGGAGACATCAGAGCATGATGAAGACGACAATGACAACCAAGAGCAGGTGGACAGCACGGCGCCCGTAGCTTTGATTTGCAAGCCCGTCTGGCAGCAGCCTCAGAAGGACGACCCGTTCGCTCTCTCTGACGACGATGAGTCCAGCAGCAGCTCCGGGATCAAGGGCCCTTCGAGTTCGGCATGGCCTCCGTGTGCGTGGGCACCAGCACGTACGGGGATGCTAACTCCAGGAGTCTCGGGCGGCTCTAAGGGGCTGCCTATAACGAGCGCGATGAAAGAGGCTAGGCCGTTCCACATGCCTCGAAGCACAGATAGGGAAACCGAAAAAATGGAGATCAATGCAAGGGTCCCGGAAGTAGGAGGAAGCGGAAGGCTGCTAAAGGAGAGGAGAGGAAACCAGAGCATGGAACATGAGGAGGTGCGGCGGAAGAGAGCGAAGACGTCGTCAGGAGCAGACATGCCGGTCAGGGAGCTGCAGGCTTGTGCTCCGGACGTCGACGCGAGCAGCTCTGTTAGTCGGCGGCAAGTCCCTGGGACCGATGACGGAGGGGATGCACTTGGTGATCAGGGTGCTGCTGGAACAAGCATCACCAGAGGGAGCACAAGCATCACCAGAGGGAGCACAAGCATCACCAGAGGGAGCACAAGCATCACCAGAGGGAGCACAAGCATCGGCCAGGGGCAGCCAAGATCGGATGAGAGGATGCTGGCAGGGATTGGGGAAGTCTTAAGGAGCCTGGAGTGGGGAGAGACAGGAGGACCAGGGCTGTCGATGCTGGAGCAGGTCAGGATGCTCAGCAGGTTTACCAAGACCTACGAGGTGCTATGGAAGGACTTCACTCATGACAAGCCCTGCGAATGAGAACAAGTACCGCGCATAGTTGCTCCTGGGCGAGAACTTGAACAGATTTTCACATGTGCGCAAGGGAGTTTTGAACGTTGACCCTCGAAATTGGAGTGCTCGTTTCGTGCATCAAAACTCACGAGAGATGTCCTATCCGAGGGCACCTCACGATACTGAACTTTTCTGGGCCTTCGACGGGAACCAAGGCCATTGATGCCTTTTCTACAAATCGTCATGGCATTCCCAAGAAGCAGCAAGGGATCCGACAGTTTTCTCAACACGTTGAATTCAATCAATTCATACCATAAAGAGGATTTACACAATGACAGCAAGAGGTGGACGCGAGTCCAAGGAGATAAGAAGACGGCCAGGAGGGGCAGCGCGTTCTCGCCACGGTCAACTACAGCTGCTGAGCTTGACTGAGCATGAGGCCTCGGTGTATGTCGACCAAGAGGAGAAGCTGAAGAAGAGATTCGAAGAAATCGGACTGATCGTAGACTCTGTGCAAGGTAGTAAATCGATGATGTGGAAGGCCCTGTATAAATCTTCCGAGATAGCGAGTGCTTGCACTACTCTCTGATGGAGGCCACCAAAGTTCACCCTTCCAACCAGTGCCCCATCCACCTCGCACGAGGGGTCGATTCCCCTGAATTGAGTAGCGCCGCCAATCCATACTCAGCTATCCAAGCTATTACTTGGTCTCCACCAACGAGGAAGAAGCTGTTCCAGTGGAAGAAGACGACATCTCCATGCTGCCCTTGATGCGAGGGAAAGGAGGAAAGCTGGGTACATGTCCAGCTAGCCTGGAAACAATTTGAGCTCATGGTGGCTCTAGCACACAACAGAGTAATGAAAACAATCAAGAGAAGCTTGACACAGAGCTGGAAGAAACAAAACATTGAGCATGAGAGTTGGTGGCAAACACCAATCTGAATGGGCTCTGCTACTTCAGAGGGTCCAATCGCATTGTGCTAGCGGAGATAGCACGAACTTCAGAGTTCACTGGCGAGGGAAGCAGCCTGGCAAATCTGAAGGCGAAGTTTCAGGAGAAAGAACAGAAATATGCAGCACTGCGGGCAGAGATGACAAGCCTAAGCGAGAACACTAAAGTCATACTGGCCACATTCAACCTGCTTATGGACAAGGATATAATCGACAGAGTCATGACCACAGCTGCTCGAAGTGCAGCACATGCTATGAACCTCAAGGAGACTAGGAGACACGGCCAACGATCCGATACGACGGTGAGATACAATCAAGAGACTGATAGGGAGCAGGGTGCCAGAATCGTGATCGGAACATACCGCCCTCCGCTCAGCCTCGTCTGCTGGACTACTCCATCTACACATTGGCTCTCATCTAGTCCCATTGAAGGAGTCTTTCTGCAAAGCTCATTCTCTCAAAATATCTAGCACAAATGCAAGGATCAAGAATTTCTCTTGCAGCACCTGCTGAATTAGAGGTATATTTGCAATTTTATGGATCATTGGGATCAATATCGGTCGTTCCAACAATGAATTGAGAGTGACGCAAACATGCTTAACTGCATGAGTTGATATCAACTCTCTTACAACATTCATGTAGCACAATTTGTCATTTACAACCGACTACTACCTATTAAATTGGCATTTCATCTAAAAGGATTCCTTGTTTTTTTCGTAACGAAGACATGAAACCAATCTATTGAAGGTAACGTAGTCTCATCTCTTTTTCGCCCTCCGAAACAAAACAGCTGAGAACAAACACAACTTTTTTGATTTTTTGGGGGAAAAAATAAGGACCTTTAATCCATCCATCTTGTTTTGAGCTGATTATCTTGCTGATTTTCTTGTTTTGAGCTGATTTTCTTGCTGATTTTCTTGTTTTGAGCTGATTTTCTTGGGGTATATTCATATATTTTGTTTACATTCTCGCATTCACATCATTCTTGTAGCAATGTCGCATTCTTCCTTCACGTCGGACTGCCAGTTTCTTTTGAACGATCTCTCCGTGTCAAAATAAGCAAACCAATCTGAACGGGGTTCAGGGACATCGTATTGTGCTATTGTAGAGGCACCAAAAAAGTTCTGAAAAACTTCTAATGCTGTTGGATCTGTCCCGAGAATCTCCGGCAGAGGAACATCCTGACACATCTCGACACCGAATGGTTTGATACAGTTGAGATATTGCCACGGTCCTTGATCTTCTTGAACAATTCAGATGGGAATGCAGAAGAGCAGCTGAAAGCGAGCTTGTGATGCGGGAGAGCAAGGTGTTTTTGTGTTGCTGGAACAAAGTGAAGGGTCCGAGCGGGGTTGGGCGGACTTGGTGGAGCAGTGGAGGAGGTCGAAGGAGGGGCGCAATGAGTCTTGCTGACAGGTACATGTGCGTCTCAATAGATATATTGTGGGGTGGGGTGAAGTGACTTGGGGGTGGTTGTAGGGACGGGGGCGGGTAGTAAAAGCGGCGGCGGTTCGGATGCAGCCGAGGGTCGTCGGTACGAGAGATCCACCTCTCTATCTCGAGGAACACGTCCAGTCATGCATGGAACCTCATGAGACGATGTGCAGCGCCTAACTCTTGCCGAAAAGATTCTTTTTCATTGTGTGTGCTTCAGTCTTATCCCTGATAAGTTCTCTTTTCGTTAACGGTAGTCGTGTTGCCGAGGCCGGGCTTTGGAGTTACAGCTGGGGCCCCTAATCTTCTTTGAGTAAAGACAGCCTAAAAAAGTAGCTCGACATAAATAGTCACTCCTGATTGTCCTCGTACTGCTTTTTAACTTAACTTTGAGTAAAGCAGTCACAGGCTGCAAAAGAGTCCGATCTGCCCTTTGAGTAAAGAAAGACTGAAATAGTAAGACTCTGAGACCGGGACTCGGGCATGGGCCAGGACTAGTCTCGCTGGCACTGCCGGGCCGGGCCGAACTGCATGCAGCATGATCTGACTCATGGGTTAATCCTAGCCCGGGTTTAGGGTTTAGGGTTTGCCCGCTTTTCAGGCCCGGGCACTGAGGCCCGCTTATTTCAGGCACTGCCCGCTTATTTCAGGCCCGTTTCCCGGTGACTCAGCCGTTTCCTTCAACTCCGCAATGCACAAGTCGGAGAAGCTGTACCCGGGCGCGGCGTGATGTGCCAGCATCCGGCGCACGCCGATTCGGATCGATCATCTTTTCAAGGCTCCGATTCGACAGCCGATTCGATGTATCTTGCGTGTCCGCGTGGGGACGAGGGTCGGCCGGGTCATTGTTGTACTATGGCGGAAGAGGTGAGGGTACAAGCTCGCGCCTCCTTCAGCCGATCGACGGTAAAATGCTCGCGCAAGAATGCAGGAGACAGGGAAGCTGATAGTTTGGCACAGAAATACTACATCTCTGTTGGAGACGCATCCTATGGTCGATGTAGAAAGAAATGGGAGGATTTTGAAGATCTTTATGATTCTCTCGAATTAAGATATGGCAAGCTGGATATTTCCTTTCCGGTATATGCGACAAGGTGCAAGTTGATATCTGAAGCTATCTGCGGCTGCAGTCGTTCTTGCCATCGATGACATGGATTCACAGGAAAAATAATACCAAAGCCGAGGCTGTAGAAAAGAATCGCAGAAACTTGGAGAAACTTCTGGAGAAACTGAGGGCTCACCCTAAGCTTTCACATGATTCGGATGTGATTTCGTTTTTGCACCTTGTTGATGTAAAAGAGAATGTGGACTCGGACGATGGTGCACCAAGCTTATCCCTGCGCGACAAGCCTGGACCGACTCCGTTCACCGTGGAGTCAAAGCCTGCTTCTGCTTGTCATGTTGATGAAGGAGACCAAGCAGACGACGAAACATTACCAATTGATAGCAATTCTACATCGAATACCCTTCTGCCATCATCACTTGAATGGAAATCAACTCCACAAGCAGCCGAGCCCAAGAATTCTATATGGATTGGTCGATGAGGATGTAACATAATAGAATTTATCGAAAAGCACACCACTCTTGTTCACGAAACCTTTGCATCAGTTCAGAGGTGCAGAGAATTCCTTTGTGAGCTCTTCACTTTTCTTCCAGAGCTGCTCAGCCTTCTCTGCATCCTCAGCTAAAGGATGAGATGTCTTCATGACTGCGCACCTAGCATAATATTCTCCTGGAACCAAGCTAGAAGGAGGGGCAACACAACAGAATGTAGAAGTTGCAGCTAATTGCTCATGGGAGAAGAGAATCATCCCTCCTATCGCTCGATAAAGACCGATCAACACACCTGACAAACCTTCCTTTGCCAGGCCAGTTGGACCAACGCCGGGGTGAAGAGAGACAGCAATGATGTCAAGCTTCTGATCATGAAATCGTCTGGCAAGCTCTTTTGCCATCAAAATATTGCTCAGCTTCGATGCGCCATATGCTTCCATCCAACTGTATTTTTCTGGATGGGTCCAATTAGAGAATTCTTGGTCTGGATTAGGAGCACTGCGATGTAGCTCGGAACTGACGCAGATAACGCGGGCAGGTTGCGAAGCACGAAGCTTGTCCATGAGCAGTTGACAGAGAAGAAAGTGCCCTAGGTGGTTGATTGCCCACGTGCTTTCGTGTCCCTGAGGCGACAAGCGAAATGGTTGTGCCATGACCCCGGCATTGAGAACCAGAAGGTGAAGAGGACAACCAAGCTTTTGAAATTCTTTGGCATAGTTGCGAACGTTTTGCAAGTCCTCCAGATCCAGAGGTACATCGGGTATCATCTCCACGGACCCTGCGTTCTCAGCATTCCCTAACTTGTCCTGTATGCTCCGAATTGCTTCCTTGATTGCATCCAACCTTCGCCCAGCAAGGATAACTCTCGCTCCAGCTACCGCCAAAGCATGAGCAGTCTCGAATCCTGCACCGTTGTTGGCACCAGTCACCTGATTTCTATGAGTCCAAGACAGTAGCGAGGAGTTGATATATGATATATGCCTCAAGGACTTACCACTGCAACTTTTCCCTTGATTGGTCTTCCATCCTTGCTGTATTCCTTGACAACTTCCAATGCTCGCTTGCCGCCAAAAAGTCCCATCTTATTTCGTCAATAGAGTCAGCACGATAGAGAGCATTGCCAAAAAATTCTAGGAACATACACACACACATATACACACACACACACACACACACACACATACAGAAAGCGTTCTGGAATTTTGAAAAGGCACCAGCTAAAAATCCGAAACAGGGATCATACATATCACAGTAGTGGGAGCCTATTACTTATATTCTTTCTAGTTCCTCGGTGTGCTACCCTTCTGTTCTACGGTCACCTCCCCCCCCCCTCCCTTCTACCGCTCCTATGCTCTTTCCTCCACCTTCGCTGGTTCTAGAACGTGTTGCAAGTAGTGCTTGCATGTCCGCTTTTCCAAACGTTCACTTAATAAATTAAGTAAATCCCAGGTCTAGGCTTCAGTTGAGACACTGCCAGGAGGGTTTAGGGTTTAGGGTTTAGGAGCCGGCCCTTAGTAAGAGCAGCCGGCCCTTAGTAAGAGCAGCCGGCCCTTAGTAAGAGCAGCCGGCCCTTAGTAAGAGCAGCCGGCCCTTAGTAAGAGCAGCCGGCCCTTAGTAAGAGCAGCCGGCCCTTAGTAAGAGCAGCCGGCCCTTAGTAAGAGCAGCCGGCCCTTAGTAAGAGCAGCCGGCCCTTAGTAAGAGCAGCCGGCCCTTAGTAAGAGCAGCCGGCCCTTAGTAAGAGCAGCCGGCCCTTAGTAAGAGCAGCCGGCCCTTAGTAAGAGCAGCCGGCCCTTAGTAAGAGCAGCCGGCCCTTAGTAAGAGCAGCCGGTCCTGGCAGGTTCCTTATTTCCTGGCAGGTTCCTTATTTCCTGGCAGGTTCCTTATTTCCTGGCAGGTCAAATCACATTAGGGTTTAGGGTTTAGGGTTTAGGGTTTAGGAGGTTCCTTATTTCCTGGCAGGTTCCTTATTTCCTGGCAGGTTCCTTATTTCCTGGCAGGTTCCTTATTTCCTGGCAGGTTCCTTATTTCCTGGCAGGTTCCTTATTTCCTGGCAGGTTCCTTATTTCCTGGCAGGTTCCTTATTTCCTGGCATAATAGGGTTTAGGGTTTAGGGTTTAGGGTTTAGGGTTTAGGGTTTAGGGTTTAGAGGTTCCTTATTTCCTGGCATGCAGATTTGCGGTACCCCTGCGCTGGTGGAGTAAGAGCCGCCAGGAACGACGGAAGCTTGGGAAACCATTGAGAATGCTCCGAAGCATGTGGCCAATATCTATTGTGAACCCTGACGAGATCGTGCAGTACCGTACCTCCAGCTACCTCAAGAGGCAGACGGAAACTGGAACGATGCCGTCACCAGCTGAGCTTGTGCGACGACTGGATGACTTCGCAAGGCAGAATCCCAAAAGCAGGACGAGCAAAGCTCTGAAAGCCAAAGAGATATCCTTGGAAGCCTTAGCCGAAGCCATCAGTCACACATGCAGCTTTGCTGAACCTTCACCACTGGAGAGTCTGAAAGGTCTCGGGCAGTGGGGTGATGATGCCAGGCAGTGGTACCTGTCCGAATTTCTAGCAGACAGGCAACGGCAGATGGAGGCCAGGTCTTATGATGACCAGGGCACGAGTGTGCAGACGATTACCATGAAGGTACTAGGGATACCTGCATACTTCTCCAGACAGGTTGAAAACTTATGCGTCAAGCTGGAAGAGCAAGGCTTGATCGTAGATCAGACGCAAGACAGCAGGAGTTTGATCTTCAAGGCTCCCCTCAAGCCTGACCTGGCGAAGGCAGAAGAGATCCCAGCAGTGATCACCTTTGTCCGCAACGAGGCGGCAGAGAAATTCTGGAAAGGAGAAGGTACCTTTAAGGTGGCTGGAAGGAGGATCCTAGCAGTGAACCCAGCAGCCAACCCACCGATCTCGTTCAAGATGCGACCAAAGAAGGAGAACATGGGCAGAGTCGGAATCCTAGCGGAGGTGGCCCAACTCCTTAAGCTCAATGATTCGAGTACAGGTGATATATGTGAGATCTACAGGCAGTTGTGCTTGAAACAGGGCCTAGCAATTATCGACCTGATCCCAAACGCGGGAATGACAGTGAACCTCCCCCCCAAGAGGAACCTGCCGCCAAAGAAGGTGTTTGCAGCGGTAGGAATAGACACAGTCAACCAGAACAGAGAGGTAGACTGGATCGCGACTTGTTCGAGCCTGGAAGTAGCGGACATCGTCCTCCAGGCATTCGATCGACATGGAAAAGATCGAGCAGGAGTCACTTTGGGATTGGTCTCAGAGAATGACAAAATACTGAAATGGTTTTCAGTTCAAATGGAAGCAACGACTATGCTCAAGCATACGAAGAATGCTGTGCGACAGGAGGCGGCAACGGCAACGGGGGCAGAGATGCTGTACTCAGTGCAAATCTCCTCCCCAGTGCCATCAGGGAAGTTCTCTCGAAGTGAGATTGAAAAAATCTGCGCCAGTGACGAAACGGGCAGAGCCAAAGTCATCCGAAACATCCGGAGGTCTGTCGCATGCTGGGACCCACAGGTTGAAAAAGAGCTGCAACGGGTACACATCCAATGTGACGCAGAGACGGGGATGTGGGATGGGTCTGGAATTATTCTCAGGCTACGAAGTGAAAGGAGTGCAAGAAAGATGATGGCTGAATTCCCCACACACCTTCTCTGCTGGCAAGGCACAGTTGAGATCCAGACGACAGCAAGTAGTCTGAACCTCAAAGTGTCGCCTCAGGCAACACAGGATCAATCTGACCAAGCCAGATCACAAACGCCGGGAACCAGAGCAGGCGGAACCGTGTGGAAAGAGATTGAACTGAACTCAATCATCAACGAAACAAACCTGCCCGACGCGGAAGCAGAGGTAGTAATTGCTGAGATCAAGACAGCTATCGCGGAAGTAGTTAACAATGACCTACAACAGCAAGGAAAGACCTTACTTCGTCTTGACGATGCTGTGCACGACATGCAGGTCGCCTTAGACAGTCCAGGCAACGCGTCCTTCTCCACGCTGCAAGAATGGGCTGATAAAGGCACTGGAGCGACATGGGATACCCAGAGTAAGGGCTTCAAAGAGCGAGTCCAACGAATCGTTGAGAAGCATACATGGAAGGTCGCGAAGCGCAAGCAAAGCGCTTTTGCCCCCAAAGAAGAGAAGCAGTTTAAGACTGACCTGCTCTTCATTGCATTGAATAAATTCCTAGAGGAGACAGTAATCTCTTCGGTAGGAATGCTGGGAGATAACGACGAACTAAAGTTCATGTTGAGCACTGAACTACAGATGAAAGAGGCCGGAATGGAAGAGGAACCGGAGGAAGGGAGCAAGGCGGACGACGCAGAGGGGATGTCACTAGACTCCCCCCCTGCGGCACAAGCTTAATGGACGCAGGAACAGGAGGAGACGAGGGCAGGTGGGACAATTGGCACAAGGGTGAGGGGGAAGGACAAGAAGGTGAGAAAAACAAAGACAAAGAAAATCAAAAAACGACACAAACATTCGACCTCGTAGGGGAGATCCCCTGGAGTCGAAGGGAACAAAACAGAGAATATGGATTAGCGGCGCTACTCAACTCGGGAGAAGCTGGCTTTCTCTCCGAAGATGTTGTGGAGGCGATAATCCTCGAGGCAAGCGAAGGTATCGAACCATTGGAAGACAGATTTCAAGTAGCATGGCTACGAGACAAGAGGTACGCGAACGCGCAAACTAGAAACCAGGTCGAGTCGCCGAGAGGGACTATTGTCCTCCCGAGAATAGTAGCTTGTTTGAGAGATCAAGAGGGGAGGACAAAGAGAGCAAAGCGACTACTAGCCGGGGCAGCTCAGCCATTCTTATTCCCGTGCGTAGAGAATGGCAATCATTGGATTCTACTAATGGCAGATTTTGACACAAAAAGAATACGCATTGTTGATTCACTCAGCACGGCTGAGAGAGACTTGGGGATTGTCAGAAGTCAAAGGGAGGCACAGTTTCAGCTGGAAGGCGCACAACGAATGGACTTAGCCACACTCGCGGCGACGATTGTCACGGAGGCATTCAGCGACCAGCTATTGTGCGAGGATTTCTTCTGCTTGTTCCCTTTGCTTTGGGAATGGCCAGAGTCGCACGGGCAGGTGCAGGGAGATACTGTTGCATTTGCTGCTGATCGCAAAGACAAACAGACCGACACAACGAGACATCTCAAAAACAGGTAGGCAGCAAGGCGTCCCCCCACCCCAGCAATGGCTCGAGAGGATGAGGCACCGGCTGCTGGATGCGCTTTGGGTGGAGGATCCAGGAAAAGCGCGCATGCGAGAAACGATCAAAGGCATCTGCAGAGCTTTACAACACGCGCAAGATAAAGGGTACAAGGAATGGCAAGCAGCAGAGGTGACCCAGGCACAAGAGATGGAGCAGGGAGAGCAAGAACCGTGGCAAGCGAGAAACATGGTGGACCTGCGGACATATGAAAGGTCAGAACAGATGGACTCACTACCGCCGCAGGCCACATCGCTCCCCCCAGCGGGCAAGCACAAAGAACAAGCTTCGAACGATGTAAGGGGAACTAGGGAGGAGGAGGAGACGCACTCTCCGGCAAGAGATCGAAGGGGAGTACCACATCAACTTCAATGGGCCAATAGGGAAGAGGAACAAATACTAACAACAGGTAGAAAACCTCACAATGCAATTCGAACAGAAAGATCAGAGCAACCATCATGGGTGGAGATGCACAGAAAGGATAACACCCCAGGCAACATCATCTCTCAAAATGTTAATGGGTGCAGCCAGTTTGTGCTGAAACACATCTTGGGATACCTGATTGAGACATACCAGCCGAGCGTGGTAATGCTGCAGGAGGTCTTGGTAGGGGGGAGGAGGAAAGAGATAGCTCTCCGAACGATGATCAAGAAGGAATGGGGATGCTATCGAGTATTTATCACGAAAGGCACGGGGGGCGGGAGAAAGGGTAAGAGTGACCTACGCCTCATGACATTAGCGCATGCTGACCTTGCACCTCGCCCCCCCCTGCCATGGCACTTCGCCATGGAAGAGGAGCGCGAGGTCTCCCAAAAAAGAATACAGGTTTTACACGTT